TGATTTGATCTTATGGTCTTCCACCGAAGAGCACTCTGTATTTCCCTCTTGATTTTCTCTCTTGACGGGGATAGAGAGAAAGGAACGGGACTGTAACTTTGTTTTTGTCTCGTGTGCTCTCGGAAGGGGACCATGACCCTTTAAATAACCAAAATTAGGTTAATTACTTAAGTTTTAGTATTTTCAATTTGGCCCCTCATCAAATTAGAAATTACTCTATGGTCTCTACACAATCATATTTTCATGACATATGCCTTTAGCCAAAACTTTAATTTATTCAGATCACTTTATTATTTGGCTTAATAAATAATGACCCTAACACATTTAAATATGTATCATATATATACATGACCCAAATTTTGCCAACACTATGGACAGGAAGAAAACTCAATTTAAGACAATTATGATTGTAGCTTCTACCATGATTGCAACTTTAGACCGCTCCCAAACATTTGGGATTGTCCAATATAAGTAAGAGTGTATAATCCACATGAAAGAAGCTTGATGCAAGAACTATTAATGGTTTCTTCATTGGTTATCCTGAAAAGTATGAAGGATAAAAATTTTATTATCTTAACCATAGTACAAGAATAATTGAGTCTAGCAATGCTCGGTCCATTGAAAATGACAAATCTAGTGGGAGTGAGAAATAATGAAAGGTGGATATTGTAGACCTCGTGGTGAATCTCTTTCACTTAATGCTTCTTGTAAGGATATTATTATTTTAGTTGTGTTATGGCCAAACAACAACAAGAGACAACAAAATGGTATCTAAAACCCACAAGATGAACATATGGTTGATGAACCAACAAATGATGTGCAAGTCACTAATGAACAAGTGATAGAAGAGGCATATGAAATAGCACCAAGAAAGTTTGAAAGGCAAAGAAAATCATCTATTTTAAATGATTTTATTGTATATCCTCTTAAGCATGAATGTAAATTTAGTATTGTTGATGATCCAGTCTTAGTTAAACAAACCATGAAAAGTGACAATTCAAAAAAGTGGTTGAATGCTATGAAAAAAGAGTTAAAATAAATGAATGACAATAAAGTATAGGATCTAGTTGAATTGCCTAAAGATTAAAAAAGAATAAGTTATAAATAGGTCTTTAAGACCAAACGTGACACAAAATACAATATTGAAAGATATAAAGTTATATTAGTTGTTAAAGATTTCACTCAAAAGATGACATTGACTACAATGAGATCTTCTCTCATATTTCTAAAAATGATTATTTGATAATTGTTTTACCTTTGGTAGCTCATTATGATTTAGAGTTTCACCATATAGATGTAAAGTCTGTCTTTCTAAATGGTGAATTAGAGAAAAAATTTATCACAGAAAAAGAAAACATGGTGTGTAAATTAAAGAAGTCAATATATGGATTAAAACAAGTTTCTAGAAAATGGTATCTCAAGTTTAATAATATCATCACGTCATATAATTTTGTAGAAAACATTAGTGATCGGTATGTCTACATGAAAATCAGTGGGAACAAGTTTGTAACTTTAGTCCTATATGTTGATGATATTCAGCTTGCTACTAGTAATGTTGTCATGTTACATGATGTAAATTAGTTTCTTTCTAATAACTTTAAAATGAAAGATATGGACGAAGTATCCTATGTGATAGGAATAAAAGTGCTCTGCTGGGATTGTCCCAATACAAAAGGGTGACAAGTTTAATCAAATGAATGTCCCATAAATGAATTGAAATGTAATTAGATGAAATATATTCCTTATGCATCAATGGTTGAGAATTTGATATATATCCAAACATTAGCTTTGTCGTAGGAATGTTAGGTCAATATCAAAGCAATCCGGGAATAGAACACTGGAAATGTGCAAAGAACATTCTTAGGTATTTACAAAGTATGAAAGATTACATGCTCATGTATAGAAGGTTAGATTACCTTGAAATGACTGACTGTTCGAATTTAGATTTTGCTGGATGTATGAACTCAAGAAAATCTACATTTAGACACATCTTTCTTTTGGCTGGAGGAGTGGTATCATGAAAAAGTGCAAAACAATCATGATTGCAGCTTTTACCATGGAAATCGAATTTGTAACATGTTCTGAGGCCACAATTTAAACATTATGATAGTAGAACTATACTCTAGGATTTGGTATTATTGACAGTATAACAAAACCAATGAAAATTTATTATGATCATTTTGTAACTATTTTTCTTTCAAATAATGATAAATACTCGAAATGAACAAAATACATGAATTTGAAGTATTGATCAATTAAAAAGGAAGTACATAAGTAGAATGTATCAATTAAGCTTATTGGTACAAACTTAATGATAACAAATTCTTTAACTAAAAGTTTACCACCCAACATATTTATTGATTAATTATGTTAAAAAAATAGTATAATGAATAAGTCATTTCATATATATATATATATATATATATAAACAAAATATCAATTGAAATGATGGAATTAATATCATGCTTAAAATTTATTACATATTACAAATAAATTTGAATATATGAATATTAGAATGATGGTAACCTAATTTTGACACGTAAACATCTGTTTGTCCATGCCTTATTGTCACTTTTTCTTTTCTTATAATCTGATTTTCGATATAAAAGTCAAGAGTTTCATATATATATATATATATATATATATATATATATATATATATATATATATATATATATTTATAATTGTTAAAGAATAAATTAATTATTTTAATAAAGTAAAAGTAGTTTAATTATGATTTAAAAAATAGTTATTTCCTATTAATTATATTTTATATATTATTTGTATTAAAACATGAACTATAATATTTAATATCTAATTTATTATATATATATATATATATATATATATATATATATATATATATATATATATATATATATATAATGTAACAAGTTATCCACGTAATGAGATTGAGTTTGAAATTTTCAAACATATTCTACCAATTCTAAGAAGGAAAACTGGAAAATCAAATACATCTTACTTTTATATTATTTATTTATTGAAATGCCTACGTCCAACCCAACTTACTTATAAAAAATATTATTAGACCCAGATCTCAATTTTATTTTTTTATTACTTTGTATTCCGACTAAGAAAATAATTCATTTAGAGCGATATATAACCCCACCCACCCCTGTGATTGTTTGAAACGATCAAATTAATTAATGGGTGATAGGAATAAGAAACTATACATGGCAGGCACCAATACTAACAAAATATTTTTGTATTATAAATAAATTATTATGTTTTTTATAGAACATATGAGAGAAATCAATATGGATTCTTAATTCATTTTAATTGATTCTGTATTTTGTTAAATAAGAATATTGTTTTGATACAAGAATAGACATAAACAGAAGCAAATGGAAAGAGCTGCATAAGTTCTTGAGAAAAAACTTCCTCCTTCTTAGCCCACTGATCAACAACATTATTATCTTCCCATGCAAACATGAATCACGAGATTCAGAAGAACCAATATTATCCATTGTTCTCTTCATGCAGGTTTAATAAAGCAGCACGTGATTCACAAGAAGACTTTCACACTTTTCATTAATATTTAGTCTTCTTCAGTGTTCAGGACGTAACTTCTACACCTATTAAGCTTTCTCTTACTCACCAAAAAGATAGAGAATCATTTCCAAAATTCAAATAAGGAGTTTAAAATACTAATTAATAATTTTGTCTTCAATTTATATCGTTTAATTTATTTTTGGTTCACGTTATTCATCTTTATATTATATTGATTGATATTGATTAGAGTTTCTTTTATGGGCTCCATCTATTATCATCTTTTATTACCATGTTAAAAACTGATCTTTTTACATAATTATAATATAGATAAAAAACTTATTACTTAAAACAAAAAATTCTAAGTGATTTTTAATAAAACTTAACAATTATGTTGATAGAAAAATAAATCTAACAGATCTCAATTGGAATCAGAAAAAACTTGATTAGCATTAATAAAAAGAACCTTATACCAATTTAAATGTAAGAATGGAGAGATTATACATAATTTTTAAATAATTCAATTTAAAATAAAATTTAGTATCTTCCCAAAACTTAAAAAAAAAAAAAGAATTAATTTAAACACGTTAAGACACGTAACTGCAAATAGCATTCACTCTAATTTTTTCCAACTGATCGATGAACAGATTCCGTCCATTACGTTACCGTAAAATTTAGGGTGCAAGAAAACAAGGAATAATATAAATATGTTGTAAAATATTTCGGTGAAAAAAATAATAATAATAATAACGAAAATTTTGGGCGCAGCCGCCTGAGGACTTCCCGCTTCTCCCTCTGTCAACTACGGTTTCATTTCATGGTTTCAACCCCAAAAAGTAACACACACGCGCACACAGACTAGCATTTATTCAACACAACCACCACTATAGTCAACCAAACGCCTCCTCTTTGCTTTTCAATTCCCTTCGGATCCGTAACCGTAAGTTCTCCTTTCTCATCTTCGCCGGTGCTATATGCGATTCATTCATATACCTGCTCTGCCGTGATTTCGTTTTTTCTATCATTAATTAATTACTCTTGGATTAGATAGGATATGATTGTTAGGGGAGAATTTTTCCTTCGGATATCCTCATATTTTGTCTATGCATCAGAAATAAGGTAGTTGTGTTCTGTTGGTGTGTGTGATCTGATGATATATATATATATATATATATATATATATATATATATATATATATATATATATATATTTTATATTTTTTTTTTTTTTTTTTCTCTCACTGTTGATTCCAATTCTTTTAATCTCTGTTGCTGTCTAAAACTAGAAGAATCCCGATGGATATAGCGGTATTGTATTGATAATGTTGCTATTTTTATTTCTGGATGCAGTTTTTGTTTTGTTATTCGGTTTTTTTCCTGGTCAATAGATTACTCTACACCGTAATTAGTTTATATATATGTTTTATGATTTCTCGTAGGGCTATAGGTTGAAGTGTGGCGTATCGTATGAACTCTAGCTTGCTTTCACCATGGAAAATCTACAGTTAGAGGAGACAAATGGAGTGAATTCTCAAGCTGTTGAGAACCTGCGGGTAGATGATTTGGTTTTTGACCAGGAGAAACAATCAAAGGAAGTGAAAGCTCAGAATATTGGTCATGATGGTCCCGACTTCGATGATATATCAGATGCGGAAGATGTAAGGTCTAAGAGGAAAGATGAGGGCAGGGGTTTGCAATGTGAAACTCCACTGGAATACTCGGAAACCAAATCTGAAACTGAAGTTATTGCTGATAAGCAAGAGGATTCTGATGATAAGATGAATGCTGGTGGAGATCTGGAGTCTAAAAACCAAGAAACAAATCCGAATGTAGATGATAATTGTGGTCAGAGTGACTTGGCTAAAGAAGTGGATGATAGGGAATTAACGCAGATGTTTGATAAGTCAGATGAAATTCCAAGCGAGGACCCCAATTTGGAGCCTGTATTTGATGGAACAGAGGTTCCAGGGATGGAAGCTAACCGTAGTATGTCTGGCCGTAGGTTGGACGTAGATCAGGACTCCCCAGGTGTGGTTGAGAAGGCTGTGGCTCTTAAGAATTTTGTTAAAGAGAAGAGCGCAGTGGCAGTTTCCACCATGATGCGTCGCCTTTCTGGAAAAAGAGAGGAAGGTGCTGTGGATAATGTTGATGATGAAGGTAAGGATGTATCAGACATTGGAAAAGTTGGAGAAAACAAAGTGATGTCTGAGAAGGCAGTGGAGAAATTTGACTGGAATCCCTTAAATTACATAAAGAAGTCATCCGATGTTGGTGTGGATAGAAAAACTGAGCAGAGGGACTCAATAGTCATGAAAGGAAGGATTATACTGTATACAAAACTAGGGTGCCAAGAATCTAAAGAGATTAGGCTGTTTTTGCGTTTGAAAAGGCTTAGATATGTCGAAATCAACATTGATGTGTTCCCTAGTAGAAAGAAGGAGCTGGAGAAGATTTCCGGATCTACTTCTGTACCTAAGGTTTTTTTCAATGAAATACTTATTGGAGGCTTGAGTGAGCTTAAGACTCTAGATGAGTCTGGCAAGCTTGACGAGAAGGTTGACTTTCTTATTACTGAAGCACCATTATTTGAGGCCCCATCACCACCACTCTCTGGAGAGGATGATGAGCCCAGTAGTGGACTAACTGATGAAATGGCAGTTATTGTCCGCAAAATGAAAGAGTCTATTGCTGTGAAGGACCGGCTTTATAAAATGCGCAGGTTCACTAACTGTTTTATTGGCTCAGAAGCTATCGACTTCTTATCAGAAGATCAATATTTGGAAAGACCAGAGGTAAGCTTGGTATTAAGCCTCAAGCGTGGGTATATTTCCCGTACACAACCCATCTTTGACTCCCCCATATTGTATGCAGTTATTTATTGAATAGTATTTGATCTTGCTATATTTTCAATCACATGCTCAAACAAATCATCCACCGAATGGCTAGCTTCATACTGTCATTGTTATCTTCTAATTCTTGGCTGATGGTATAGGCTGTTGAGTTTGCACGAAAGCTTGCTGACAAACTCTTCTTTCGACATGTTATTGAGTGAGTCCACGTACCCTACTTGGTGTTTCCACTTCCGTTGTTTAAACTGTTTTGTCAGTTCTTAACAAAATTGATAATCCTTCCTGGTCTTCAATGGTTTCTGTTTTGCTTTAGTGAGAATCTATTTGAGGATGGAAATCACCTGTATCGGTTTTTGGATGATGACCCCATTGTAGTCTCACAATGTCATAACATTCCTAGAGGCATACTAACCTTGAAGCCCAAGCCTTTAGCAGAAATTGCGTCAAGACTGAGGTTTCTGTCCCGTGCAATATTTGAAGCCTATGTTTATGAAGATGGACGTCGTGTTGATTATACAAGTATACATGGAAGTGAGGAGTTCGCAAGGTTTATTTAACGTTTCTTTCTTTTGCCTTGCGTAGAACTTATACGTACCATGCAATGTTGATGATGCATTCAGTTATTTCTGGAATTTCCGGTGTTATTTACAATTATCGTTTTAGGTATCTGAGAATTGTCGAAGAGCTGCAGAGAGTGGAAATATCGGATTCGTCTAGAGAAGAGAAGCTTGCTTTCTTCATTAATCTTTATAATATGATGTCCATCCATGCAATCTTAGTGTTGGGCCATCCTGATGGAGCACTTGAAAGAAGGAAATTATTTGGAGAGTTCAAATATGTTATTGGTGGGTCCACCTACTCACTTTCAGCTATACAAAATGGCATCTTAAGGGGAAACCAGCGACCTCCATATAACCTTAAGAAGCCATTTGGTGCAAAAGATAAACGATCGACGGTAAGCTATTAATAGTTGTATTAGTAAGTTAATACTAGCAATTTAAATATATATTTTTTTGGCTATAAATAAAATATATTTTTAGTAATAATTTTAGACTATTGGGCTGTTTGGTAGATATGCTTTCACCGTGAAAATACTAGAATAACATGCTTGCTTTGGTGCTCAAATTTGTCAGATGGTACTTCCTTATCCTGAGCCTCTTATTCATTTTGCTTTGGTATATGGTACCCGATCTGGACCTACACTTCGGTGCTACTCTCCTGGAAAGATTGATGAAGAGTTATTGGATGCAGCCCGTAATTTTTTAAGAAATGGAGGCGTTGTAATTGATTTGAGTGCAAAGGCTGTAAATGCTAGTAAGATCCTTAAATGGTATGTTCTTTCACCTGAGGCTTTTGAATATGATTGATGTTTTGGTAAATTTAAGCAAAGACTGCTCATCGATTATTTCCTATATACACTACACATGTGTCACGCTGAGAAAGCAAACCTTTCACATTCTATACTTAGCTCAACGGTATAAACAGAAAGTATTTGATCTATAATTTTTGTAAGTTTTACTAGAGGCTAATCTCACTTGAATTTATAAATGCACGAAGATCTGGCAGAAATGCAAACAAACTATATATAGGTGAAAACATTCTGATGTTAACTATTATATTTTTATATAGAAGTTAAATGAGTACACGTGTTTACTATTATCAATGAAAAAAATATAATGGTAAACAGTGCTAAAATTAGTGTTTATTTTGGAGATATTCAGATCTGAAAGTAACTATTTCTCCTTGTTCGTTCTCAGGTATAGTATAGATTTTGGCAAGAACGAGGTAGAGGTGATAAAGCATGTTTCAAACTATTTAGATCCAGCTGACTCAGAAGTATTGTTGGACCTACTTGCTACTTCCGAGTTGAAGGTGACATATCAGCATTATGACTGGGGCTTGAACTGCTAGCATGGGCAACCAAAGTTCTGTAAATATGTCGCATAGATTTATACTGATTTCCTATCATACAAATTACCACCAAAGTAATCAATTGGCATGTTAATTTTTCTGCTCGTTTCACTCGTCTAGAACGGTACACGAGGAAGACAAAAATAGGGCTGAGGAAAATATGTTTACTTCCTGAATTCCTGTTATATATGTACTGTCCTTCTAAAAAAATTACTTGTGCCCTTTATTGTTTGATGCATGCAATTTTTTATGGTCCATCATATCACGTGTACTCTGCGTGAACTGAAGAGGTTGGATACGTAATGCCCTTCTCAGATGGCCATTTCTTTTAGCGATTGAACATGAATGAAGTTACTTGTACGGTAATGTATAGTTATAGCATCTCCATTGATGGTAGTTATTCCCACATTTTCTTATTAAATAATTAACACCTTGTTTTAATAAGAATCTATCAATGTTGCTGATGTTTATTAAGCACTCCCCATAAGCACCGGTCCTTAGAAATTGAGCCTCGTGTGCATGTATTTTATAAAATAGATATAAAAAATAAAGACGTGAGGTTATTTAGAGATAAGATTGGAGAAATATATAGATCCATTTAGGCACTCCCAAAAAATGGAAAAATGGATTTTGGGATGGACATGACCTTATTTCATCTAAATTGTATTATTCGTTAACATTCTTTCTATATTGAAGGTTTTCAAAGGAGTGAAACTTCTAGGAAAAACTTTGAAAAATAGGCAATAACTGAACAAGAAAACAACTAGGTGAGTTATTTCCCCTTATCCTTATAACAAATGCATTACCCCTTATTCCTTATCTTCAAAATGGAATAACGGAACTCGAGCAATGAATTATGGTAGTTAGTTATATGAGGGAACTAGTATGAAAACATGCAAAGGCGAGCACTTTCTTCCTTGCAAGAAATACACTATATCTGCTGAGCAGCTGACGAATACCTCTAAAGCACAAAGGCAGGGTAAAACAATTTCCAAAGGCGTTTAAAATAATCAAATTTTGCTTCTTTGATATTTGGCCAGCAGTAGCAAAGGCGTTACAAATCACAAGTTCACTACTGAACAAAGCCTGGCGGATGTCTAGGCATCATTCAGCAGTGATCACCACATTTAATTTAATATGTAAATACAAATTCATGTTTTAAATTGCTCACATAATGTTCTTAGACGTAGGGATTCAATCCAACAATGATATGTTATCCTATTAGGGAACCAAATATCGTCTAAAAGTTTGAATTCCTTTGAAACTGGTACAGAAAGCACTGATCATGACAAAATAGTGAAATCCAACTGTCAAATAAACTTCCTATGAATCAATTTGTAGAAATGCTCCTGTATAAAAGATATTCAGTTCAGCATTGTTGGGGCTGAAACGTGCCCAGATATAAAACCAACACATGCGTACTTCATGCCCTATTGTTACAACCAAAACTGGGCTTTGCAAATAAAAAAGAAATAAAAATAAAAACAACAACTCGGGTTTCTTGAAGACTGCAGCCTGATCTGGATGATAATGGCCACTGAATAATTCTGTCCAAGTTCCTCAGCTGTCCATTTTTTATTGATAGTAAGTTGAAAGCCAGACAAAATTAACTTACAAGATAAATTTTGTAAAAGTTGTCATACAACAATCTGGCCTGCTATACTCACTCAAGGATGATAAGCTGGACAGATGTTTAAAGGGGATAGCAGCCTAGTTTTGTTCCTTGACATATCAACCAGGTTTATTTCTTGGTCATGATGTTTTCTCTAGAATAATACACCAGTTGGATTTATCAAAAAATTGATCAACAATTCTAGCATTGTTTATTCCAGTTGTCAAACTGCAAAAATATGTGAAAATAAGTTAGATCAAAACACATGCATCCCGCAGATAAGCATGTAAACATCTAAACATAGTTCTGCATTATATACTCTTTCAATTTTGAAACATGAGTAGCAAAAGACCAATAAACACTAAGGTCATCATAAATTTTTCATACACCTAAAGATCCAGTTGATTGATTAAAACAGTAAGGAAGATACATGATGACATGACACTGCTCATTTCAATCCCCGTCTTTGTTACTTTTAAACACCATTGCTAGCATTTTAAAAAAAGCATGCTTCTATCTTTACCTTACCTTACTTTTTCCCCTAACAAATAGCAACTCAATCTCTACAATAGGGGGAAAGGAAAATTACCATTTGACAACAAGCTAATAGTCAAGCAGCAATTTTAAGTTTAAATTGAACCTTGAACAGCTTTTACTGAATGTAATGTGTCTATCTCATCCAACTTTGCTTATATATTCCATACTTCTGGATTCAGATGTAAAGTATGCTATCATAGACGATTGACATATAAGATCATGTTTACCAAACAAGAAGTCTGATGGAAGTAACTTTAGCAGAAAATTAAAGGAGAAAAAAAAAAATCTAAGCTGTGCGATGTTACCTTTCAAGTTCGCCTTCACTAAAAACATGATAATATCGATTATACACCACAGCACCTTTTTTGTCATCTTTAGTTGCCAGACCAGCCGCAAGAGCATGAGCAGAAGCACCACTAATTTCAGCACGATGATAAGGTAAATGCCAGGGAACAAAGTATTCCTGTTGGTTCTTTATATGTTTCTCTTCCTCCAAATCTCTTGAGACATTTGACTCACTGCAAACTTTCATGTGCTCACCAGTGCCACTCTCCTCACTTTCAGGAATACTTTCTAATGGCAAGGGTGAAGGTGCCCGAGCGCGAGGACTCCCTGGTCCCACCCACTCGTCAACATACTTCTCGTTCAGTGGAGTCCATTTGGTAATCAGTGTCGTATCCTCTTGCTCTACAGCCCAAACTGTAATCAGAACATGGCCACCCTTTTTAACAACTCTGACCAATTCTTCTATTGCCTTTCTCCTTCTATTTTCAGTGCTTAAATGATGTAACACAGCTATTGATATCGCAGCATCACCAAAACCGCCTCTGTAAGGAAGATTCACAGCATCTGCAACCAAAACTTCATGCCCTCTATCCGAGCAGATTTTAATCAAGGAAGGACTTATATCACATCCTATGAAAAAGCAATCCTGATTCAACCCTAAATATTTCCCATTCCCGCATCCCGCATCAAGGACAAGAGACCCCAAAGGCAAAGATGATAAAAATGATGCAACCTTCGGCCATTTGGCGAACCTAGTGGCACTGAAATGCGGAGCAATAGCATCATATACATGATGAACAAACTTCTTCTCTATTTCAGGGGTGGATTTTACACTCATAGATGAAGTAGTACTGTTCCCACTGACTGATAAGGGATCTGTGATGCAGGGTTCCTTACCGGGGGCAAGAGTACACAAACTAGAATCCACTTTAGAATTGATTTGTTTCATTGAACTAAATGCTAAATGACAAAAAAAACCACTAATTACACTGGTCAAACCAAGGGCTTCTCTACGTGGATTAAAGAATCTACTTGTTTTTAGAACACTAAGAATCATTAACCAGTCAGTGTGGCAGAGAGCACCTGCGCAAAAAAAAACAATATTTTGCAAATGATGTCTTTCTTATTTATGTATAAAATCTATGATCCAATATTGATTCATTCGTATTTATATACAAATAAAAAACACAAGACCACAACACGTAAACTTGTATGATATAACCAAATGAGAAGATGTGAAAAAAGTTAGGTCAGAATCATCAAAACTAGAAGGAAACTGGGGCTTAAAACACCCAACTTCGAGGCAAAAAATTGCTTACCAGTTAACAGAGGGAATTGTGAATAGAGAAGAAGAATGACTAAAATTTGTCATGAAACGCTGAAAAAGCGAGAGATAGAGACAATCCTGAAGTGAACATCGTCGGTGATTGGGCTTGTGTTTTAGTAAATGGTGGCTGAGACCCGACAACAACTCCAAAACCCGGTTTGTCAGACTTGGTCGGGTCTAACGAATTATTATTATTATTATTATTATTATTATTATTTTATTATTATTATTATTATTATTAACGAAAACATGTCTCCCTATTTTTATTATATTTTTATTTTTATTTATTAAATTTTAATGTATATATTAGTTTTAAAATATAAAGATTTATTTTTATAATTATGAATTATTGAAGATAAATAAAATTTTAAGAAAATAACGGTAAAAAATTGAAAGAATAAAAGAATATTGTTTTTATATTTTTATTTATTATTTTATATTCAAGAGAAAAATAATATTGGTTTAGATTTAGTATAAAAAATTAAATTAATTTTTATCATTAAAAAATTAATATTTTTTCTTTAAATTAATTTTATAATAAAAATTAGTAAATAAGAAGGCATGTATTTATGGTTATAATTATTATCATATTAATAATTTTAACTTTCACATTAATTTATAGAAAAATAAAGGTATGTTAAGATGTGAGAAGAACTTAAGGAAGGATTATGCAAATAGTCAAAACCTCATATATAAAATATAGAGTGATCAAAATAAATATTAAGTCTATGTTTGGTTTTAGGATATTAATGGGTAAGAAGAAATGGAGGAATTGATTTAGAGTGATGAAACTTTTCACTTTTTTCCTCACATTTTTTTTACTTCCACAAATACATTTCTCAATTTAAACTCAGCCTAGGTTATGACTGTTTACTGAAACAATCTAACAAATCTCATCTCATTAGACACGTTGAAATTGCTCAAAATTAAATATAAATATTAGTATAAAGTTTTTCTGTCAGATTTTTTTTTTGTCAAATTATTACTCGATATAATAAAAAATGTGAATATTTTGTTGTTTTATATCTTTTGTAGTGAATAGTCATTTTTACGAAGATTTTTGTTATTGAACTATTACGATGATGATCATTACGTTATTTTTTTGGACGTTTTTAACAATGATAAACGATAATGATATTTTCATTGAAGATTTTTCTCCTAATTTGTTGAAATATTTGAGTGTTTAATACGTGGTTAAGGTTAATATTATACATGTCTTTTTTATTATTGAAATTAATATTGTAATTGTTTATAGGATCTCAATTCAAAGTAATGTATAAATACTTGCATTTAATTATTATTAAATATCCTAAGGAATTTAAGACAACAAAGAACAAGAAAAGGAAAAAAAAAACACAAGAAGAGAAAAAAAAAACATGAAAAAAACCAATAAGAGAAAAAAAAAATTTAAAAGGACAAGAAAAAAAAGTCGCTCTTCCACCGCGCCACCGTTACTTCTTTAGAAAACAAATCATAAAATATCATCTCAAGATTTCAAGTCGTATAAAGTTTGTTAAGGGACAAAAAAAACAAGGCATCTCAAAATATAAATATCTTAATTATAGTAATAAGATGTTACATATTTTTAAAGGAGCTAACAACAAAAAAATTCTCCAAATGACATGAGTCAAAACATAATTAACATATATTTTTAAAGGGACTAACAACAAAAAGATTCTCATATATGAAACATAAGTCAATCATATAAGAGAACATAACATCACTTTTAATGTGAGACTTCAAACTCACGTTTGAATTTTCAATAATCTCTCCCTGATTCTTTTTCAAATAATCACTTTTAATGGGTTAATAACAAAGAGATTCTCACAAATGTCTCTCCTTAAGTGTGATTCTTTTTCAAAGGGGCTAATAACAAAAAGATTCTTACAAATAAGACATGAATCAACTATATAAGAGAACATATCATCATCACCTTCAATGTGAGACTTAAAACTCACACTTGAATTCTCAATCATCTCTCCCTTAGTGTGATTATTTTTCAAAGGGGTTAATAATAAAGAGATTCTCACAAATGAGACATGAGGCAACCATATAAAAGAACATGAAATCACATTCAATGTGAGACTTCAAATTCACACTTGAATTCTCAATAATCTCTCTCTAAATGTGATTCTTTTTCACGTGGTACACCACTATCTCGAGCGGAAACATTTCACTTGCCTTAAACACTTACTCAACCTAGTTGGTTACCACACAAACCATCGACTCTAATACCACTATTAGGTATTTTCAAAAAGGGCTAATAAGAGGGAGATTATCACAAATGAGACACGAGTCAATCATATAAGAGAATATGACATTATCTTTAACCTAAAACCTTAAAAATTAAGTTATTAGATTATAGATATTTCTTACCTATAAGTTAATTAATTTTCTCATTTTTATCTAATACGAAATTTCAAACTCACTTAAATTCTTAACATAACTAACACAAATTTTGGTGTTTTTACTATCGAGATAGTTACTTCGATATAAATTTATATTTCTTCTATTAATATTAGAGCTTAATTAGATAAAAAAAATTGAAATAAAAAACCTTCTATACATTAATAAAATGTGATTTTTTTTAATTGATCAACCTAATCTAAAATATGAATTAAGAGATAGAGACATTTAAAAATTGGTTAATGAATTCTATCAACGACCAATTTAGAGACATGTTGAAGGCACCTCTCATGCCCAATATAATTGCTTGGAGTAAAGCAAATGGCTTTCCTCACAAACTTGCATAATTGTTGATCCCAAATACATTTTTTCAGCAAAAGAAAACACACCAAAATCATCCCTTAGACAATAGCCAAAACAAGATTTATGATAAATATACATAAAAAAAAAAACAGCATCCACATTGCACTCAAGGTATGTTGGTGGTTTAGAGATTACACTCAAACATTTATTTCATAACACTGTGAATGTATTTTTACTACCTATCGAATGAATTATATAGCTAATGAAATTATAAATTTGTTTATTATAATTTGTTCGGGTAGATTGAATTTGATCATGAACCGTTGTGTGTAACATGATCAAGCTCTATTTATGCCATGAAGAAAAAAATAAAAATAGAGAGGTTCACTTACAAATATATTCAATGTTTGATCAGCATAAAAATAAGAAAAAATATAATAATAAGAATGTAATTCAGTAATTGAATAAAATATATAATTTATAAACTTCTTGTTAATATTATTTTAGATATTAAATAATATATATTTAATATTAATAGTTGTGTCTTTAATCAAATAATTCATTATACATTATTACAAGGATTGATTTAAATAAATATTTCTATCAAAATAAGAAATACAACATATAAAAATCTCTCTCTCTCTCTCTCTCTCTCTATATATATATATATATATATATATATATATATATATATATATATATAATTGATTATCACCTTGGCAGAGGACATGAACTTCTTACCATAAAATCATTAGATAAATTGGAGTGGATAATATATTTTCAATAAAGTAAAAGTATATATAGTAAAATGAAAGAAAATATGAGAAAAAAATTAAAATAAAAAAAATATATTTGTTTGTTTAAAGAAAATTTGTCATAAAAAAAATTGTTGTTTTAAAAATAATAAATAAGTTAATTTAAATTAAGTAATTATATAATTAATAATATATTTATATATTTATTAATTAATTTTTATAAATAAAATAACTTTTTAAATTAACTTCTTCAAAATTAAGATTTTATTTTAATTCAAGATATACTTTCGTATATAATTATAAAATTATAGTTCTGAAAAATATATTTAAACTTTTTAAATTAACAAAGTAGTATTATATCATAAAAAATAGAAAAAATATATAATTATTTATTTAATTTTTGTAATTTGTGTCATATTTATTAGTGAGATACATTTACAAAATAATACACATCTTTACTAGAAAAACAAAAAAACAAAATCTTTCATATTATCTATCCTTATAAAAATATTCTAAATGTTGGAATCAGTATAATAAAATTGTTATACTCAATTTACTGTGTTGAATTAAAGTTCTGGTGAAACAAAATTGACTTGGGAAGATGTTAACCCATATAAGATAATGTCATTATCAAACATTTAATAACATCATTAAGTAAAGCACATAATTTTGCCCTTCTTTTCTGTGATCTTTATACCTGTCCACTCTCTTTCACCATTAAGATAAAAAATCAAACCTCCAAAACACAAAAGCTGCACATATAATTTAACAAGAAGAAAGAGGGTACCACCACTTTACCATTCTTGAAGTGACGATCACGTGCATCATGCACGTGATAAAGGGTATTGGCTTAGCTGTGTGACATGACCAAATCAAAGCTATACTATATATTTATGTGAGATGAGGTTGAAATACAGGCTCCATCAAAATTCAAAGCAAAGGCATGTGCATGGAGACCACAAAAAATGACCCCCACAATTCCCATTCTGTCTTTCAATTATTAGTATCATATGGTCACCATATTAGTGATCACTACACAGTACACATGATCCATCATGTAAGATCAGAAATTGGAGCTACCTCCTTATATATCCTTGGCTCTACCCTTTTGTCTGCATGTCTCCAACAATGTACTCTTCCAGGGAATTTTTTGTTTTATCTGTTGATTTGTTTACATATCTAAAATGATTAAATTCTATTAGTTTAGTTTCTGGACTACTTGATTTTGTGTCTCATAATTTCTGATTCTGAGTTGACTTCATACCTGCACTTTGGAATCATAGTTTCAGACTTTCCCAGTACCTTGTAGGGATTCACATAGCAACAGGAAAGGTTGACACATCAGATACTTGAGGTCGGTGGATAACATGTATTCAGTATTTTGTAACAGTTGAATGAAGATTTTGGATGAATAAAATCTTAAATCTGTCTTCTAAATTTGATTTATTCTGAGAAAATATACAAGAAATCTAAACCTGTGTTGAACTACATAGATTTTCCTTATATTTGTTTTTCTTTACATTCAAGTATTTTGCAATTTGAAACCATAGAATGAAAATAAGATGGCTCATGTTTTATCTATTAAAGCAAATTTAAAACATGCATTTTACATCTGATTCCTCGAATCTTTATTCGATGGCCACAAATGTTGACTGTGTTATTGGAATTTTTAGTTTTAACTATACTTAATTTGGTCTCTAATAATGCAAGGCAAAAAATCATAAACATATTTAATTATTTTTCATCCCTTTTATAAGATTGAAAAAATAGTCAAATTTAATCTTCTTATCAAAATACTTAATTCTTTAATCGTTATAAATGAGTTCATTTATAATAATTTAAAAAATTGATTATTTTGACAAGTACATTAATTTGACCCAGATTTATAGTTTTTTAAAATATTTCTAACAGAAATTCGACATATGTTTATTTTTTAAAATATTTTGTTAATAATAATTGCTCTGAAAATCTAATTATTTAAATACCTTCCAGTACACTGAAATCTAGATTTGGTTGAACAGGACATGGCGGCTTAAGATTTGAGTTTGCTAATAAATTTACTTTGAAGTATGGGAACAAAGCTTTGGATAACTTCTTTAAGATGATATTTTTTTTTGGCAAAAAGAAAAAAAATTGAAAGAAAAGAAAATCTAAAAATTGTTCATTTTTCTTGATTGGTAAGCATTTTTGTGGACTCTAAAAACAGCACCAAGATGGCAAAAGGCTCCTAACCCCTAAAACCAGCCATAAATCAAGGAGGGTTAAGGCAGTACTTTGTCTTCATCATGTTCAAATTTAGTCAGAACCACTGAGGCAGGGGGCAACTCAGAAAAATCCAGTAGCAAGATAATTTTAAGAATGCGAATCTAATATTCTAATTACAACCCTACCTAACTCGTAGTTATATGTTTAATTAGACAATTAGACAGTGATAATCACCAATTAGAGGGATAGTTTTAAAGGGTTTGTGAAGTTGATAGACTATCTAATCCTTCACAGCGCCATTTTACCTTACTTAATAATGTCCCTAACTTGCTACATTTCCTGCTAATTCACGCCACGCTAGCCCCTTATGTTGTTCCTTTGAAATTTTAACAAACCTAAACCCACACAACACTACACCTCAAATCTCTCTTGTGGGACTTAGTTCAATCTTGATACTTGTCTCCAAAGTCTCAATCTTTCTTGTTTCTTAAGCAGCCACAGATCTCGGGCAGGGCAAGGCAAGGGTACCTAACCAACATATCCAAGTTGCTTTGTAGCCTCAATTCTATTCTTATGCACCCCACAAACAAAAACGCCATTTAATTTATTAAAATTATAGTAATTAGTAAGTTGCTTCCAGTAACTTTGACAAATCTTAGGTGTCAACATTTAAATGACACATTGAGGTGATTGTTTTTGTCCCCGTGGTAATTCTCGTTGGTTTGAATTATGCAAGTGTGAATGATATCCATAAGGAGGAAAATTACAAAAAATAGTGCTATTTTTAGGTACATTATTTTACTAGCTTTGTGTAAGCAGTGGGTTTTTTAGGATTCTCTTTTACTCTATGCCTTGTCAGTCCTTGGGTTCTGAGTCTTATTGGGGTTCAGTATTTAGTAGTGCCATTGTCTAAAATCAGCATCTTTCTGGGTCCTCCTCCTTTTCCCATCTTCAACTTCAACCTCCGGTTAAATTCGAATTCTTTCTGCTCGATCCGTGGATTTCCCGGTTTAATTTTCCACCTTTTGTCTCTCACCTAGGTATGCCAAAGTAAAAAGTTTCGTTCTTTATTTTTTTTTTAATTTATTTTCTAATCGGGTTCTTCTACCACCCTTTTCTTCCCTCTCTCTTTTCTGCTGTTCTGAAAGTGGGGAAGAATGTTGGAATTAGTTGTTCCATTTGGTGAAAAAAATGTTTCAGTTGAGCTGGGAGGACATTTGTCTGATTGAATAATGTGCTTGACTTACACAGCTTTTTTTCTAAAAAAATTGTTAGGAAACAAAGCGTTGTCTGATTTTTTAACTTGGAGATCTGGCATTTTTGTTCCATGGTTTTGGGTCATATTGGACGAACTTGAAGTTGGAAATTATGAGTCATTTCTCAGTTCTAGGTTCTTAGTGCTTCCTTGCTGCAGAACTTTTTTATTTTTGTTTAATAATTACTAATCACACTAATATGAAGATAGCCTTCATAATTATGTTACTGGATCTCTTTTAGCCCAAAATTTTACTGGTTCATTGCTGTTGTAAAGTGCTTTAGTAAATATTGACGCATTTACTCAGTTTGAATCTCTCTCCCTATCTCTCTGGTTCCAAAATGTGTGCTGGCTGAGCCCTTTTAGCTCAGCATGTTTGCTCACTAAAACAAATTGTTTAATTCTTCTGGGTATTTTAATTAATTTCTATATCTATGTAGTAGTGTCGTTAATTCTGGATCAGTGGGTCCTAAATTGCTTGAGGTTTTACTTTTTTATTTTTAATAGCTGAGTAGCCTTTAAAATTTGCTTAATGGAGCACGTATCATAGCAGTATGATTGCTTAAGTTTGTGCAGAGAAAAGGATTCTTGTGAATGTGGATTTGTTTCTTTTGCATTCAGGTATTGCATTGGTGGCTATTTTAATAAATAATTAACACTGAGGGAGCTGGGAATCAAAGCGGAACCTTAAAGTTATGCAATAATGCATGTAAGGTTTTATTAATTTTCGGAACAATGTCGAGGGTTACTAGGTGGAAAATAGAGAAGACAAAAGTAAAGGTGGTTTTCCGGCTCCAATTCCATGCTACACATGTAAGTTTCCCATCTGTGTAACTTTTCTTTCATTATTTGGCTTGGTAATTTCAAATTTCACAAGAATTTTGTTTTAGGTCGTAAAGGGAGAATAATCTCCGTAACTTAGACAATTTGTCCCTCAGTGATGATCTGAGTGCACTGAACATTTGGTCTGCGTTGCCATTTAAACCAACAGTTCTCAGAATTTGTTCGAAGTTCAGTTTATTTAGTTGGCATTATCTTGTACTCTGTATGTCTGTCAGTATGATGGTTGACAATCTCATTAGTCATACTAATTTCTCTCTGGCATTCGAGTTTGTGAGTGAGTGTTTATAATTGTTTATTATGTCTTGTGTTTGTATCATCTTAGTTAAATTTAGTTTAACCATACAAATATTATATTATCTGATTTTAATTTTTATTCGCCATCATGCTAATTAGTTTATGATAATCATATATCTAGCTAGAAGTGACAACCTGGAAATAGTCAGTGTCAGCCTATTTCTATCAGTCTAGCCCTTCGACATTGTTCCATCCCACTGGAAGATTGTGAACTATGTGATCAAACTAATTCTTATCCTTCAGTCACATTATGTTTTTGCTTTTGGGTAAGTATTGTAAAACCAAAAATGAAAAATATATATTTGAATTTATCTTCTAAGAGAATCTCCATGTATGACAATTTGGAACATGATCTGAACATAAAATTCAGAGTCAATTGGTTATTTCATCAAAAGAATGTCGCAGAGGAGATATTAATTATTTCAATCATGAGGCTGGGCCTTGGTTGCTATAATTTATGTACCAACTTCTCAAGATCCCCATAAGTAAAATAATGCTATATCAAGGTCAAAGAATGAAAGAATATACATGTTTTTTTTTTCCACATAGATATTACTATTATTAACATTTTTTTATTATCTAGTACAGCCATACAAACAATCTACCCTTTTTTTCTTCTCATACATTATTTAAACATTATTGTAGCTGAAATGTTTATGCAGCTTTAGTAACTCAGAATCTATCGGTAGTTTGAATTTTTTTTTTGAAATAAGTGGTTGGTTGATGCATGCTGAAAATCAAATTCAAATATTTTGTATTAATAGTTTATAAGCAAGTCATATCTGATTTAGAGGAACAAAATATCCTTAATTATGTGTTATTTTGTTGTGAGAAGTTATAAATCAAACTCTGCGGTGTCATTCAAACACACAAATTCAACAACTCTGTCTCTTCTTTCTCACTTTCTCTAACATAATTATTGTTATTTCTGTTGATTCCATAGTTTTAGATCTATTTTTTTATGTTATTACTAAGGACAAGTTATGTTTCTGCTTGGTCAAGATTCCACAATCTGGATGGGATAAGCTGTTTATCTCTTTCATCCCTGCTGACTCTGGGAAGGCTACATCAAAGACAACCAAAGCAAATGTGAGAAATGGAACCTGCAAGTGGGCAGATCCAATCTATGAAACAACAAGACTCCTCCAAGACATTAAAAGTAGACAATATGAAGAGAAGTTTTATAAAATTGTTGTGGGGATGGTAATTTTCTTTCATGACTTTTAAATGAATGCCATATTGTTCATAGTTTAATGCAAAAACCTTCATTTTAATTTATATCACTCACATTGTTGGTGCATATTTTTTGTTTGTTTTCCTGATTGATGCTGTGAGACTTCAATTTATGATCTTTAATAGTGTGATAGAATATATTTTTGAATCTGTTTTTTTTTTTTAATATATTAACTTTCTTATTCAAAATAAGGAGAATATGGTTTTGAATGGATCATAATGTTGTCAATAAAATCTACTTATCATTACAATGCATTTAAAGAACAAAACAAATCCATTGTATTTTTAAAATTTTAGTTTCATTATTTTTATGACAAGCTATCCTCTCCATTATTGTTTCCACTATTAGAAATACCTAAATATTGTCTAGTGTTTTTTAATAGATAGATGCTTGTGGCCATTCCTCTGATTAGAAAAGTTTGAACTTTATTAACTTTATAATCACTTTAGGGTTCATCGCGATCTAGCATCCTTGGCGAGGCCAACATCAATCTAGCTGATTTTGTTGATGCATTGAAGCCAACAGCTGTTGCTTTGCCTCTTAATGGAACTGAGGCTGGAGTCACACTACATGTAAGGATCTCTGTCTTAGTATTTTACTGATGTTACTATCTCTTGTTGATTAATTCATTGGTTATGCACTTGCATGGGTTTGTGGCAGTACAATCTTGGTGTATGGCTGTATGCATTTCCGTACACCTATCAATGACATACTATACAAGTCTTCTTTTTTTGGTTTTCAAGTTCTTCAGTTGCTAGAGACATCATTGCTATCACATTTAATGTTTTTGTTTTCTTCTTGTTTGAAGCCAGGTCACAGTGCAGCTTCTCACTTCCAAAACTGGTTTCAGGTAACGAACGAGTTAGTACATTCAATGATATGCTGCTTCTAAAACAATAAATTTATTTGATGTTACTTGCAGAGAATTTGAGCAGCAGAGGGAACTCAGAGAGAGGGGTCTGCAGACAACCTCTGACCAAGGTACTCATGGTGAATCTGCTGATAGCAAAGAGTCATCTCCTGACCAGAATGCCAATAATCATATAAATAAGGTTTCATACCTTCTCTCCTTGTCTGGCATTACTCCTATATACCTTCTCTCCTCTACTTGGTTTGAAGGGTCAAGGGCCTAGGAATTCTTTATAAATAAAAACAAAAATAAAAATTATATACAGAATAAACACTTACACGCTCATAAGTTCCTTTTTAATCTTAATGAAAACTACTTAGCAAATACATGTTCATGGTGAGGAAACAGAAGTATTTTTGTCAAAGATGTACCATCTAGTATCCATAAGGGGAGAATCATGTTGATTTACTTCATAGAATTAAGCATTTTTTTTTTTCATTTGCTTGACACAGCCTCCTTATTTACTTCATGAAATCAGGTTAATTCAAGAGTGAAATTGAAAAGAGAATCTAAAGATCTCCCCCGTATATCTTCACTTGAAGAAGAGTCAGGGGTAAATGAAGAGTATGCTGATTCAGCTGCTGGCTTTGATGGCTCTTCTAGCACTTCTGAAAGCATATATACTGAGAAGCATGATATCTCCAGTACACATGAAGTGGACAGTCTTAAAAGCACTGTCTCTGGTGATTTAGGTGGACTATCCCTCAGTCAAAGTCCTCAGCCAGACAAAGGAGAGGCACCTGATAATCAGTTTCCAGCACAGGGTAGTGACCGGGTTCATGGTTGGAGCATAGACTATTCAGCTGCCAATAGTTTGGCTGCTGCTTCTGAAGATAGGAGCAGTAGTAGACTTATGGGAAATTTGGAAGCAGCTGAGTCGTCTATTCTTGATCTAAAACTGAATGTAAGTTCTTTGCAAAATCACGCAGATGAAATAGGTGTTGAAACACATAAGTTTTCTGAGCAACTTGCTACTGAGATTTCATCTGGAGAAGAGTTAGCAAAGGAGGTTGCAGTACTAAAATCAGAGTGTTCAAAGTTTAGAGATGAGTTTGATCACCTTAAAAGTTCTAAGTTGAGCTTAGCATTCCCTCACAAAGATCCTACTGGTACAGATCAGGATAAATTATTTCAAAATTTGCAGCATAAATGGATTAAGGGGCTTTTGCTCATGGAAGATAAGTTAAGAGATATTCAGAAGGTGTCTATGGGATTTCCTGAAAGGGATTTTCGGTTCCTTAACTTGGAGTTAGAAGCACTGGCTGAAATTTTGCAGAACCTCAAACTAGAATCTGGAGAGCCAATTTCAGCGGCTAAAGTTGTCAATGAAAGAGAGAACAAGAAAATGAATTTACATAAAAGTCAACAGTTTTTAACAGATATTGGGTCTGATGCAGGTTTACTTCAACCTGAAAGCATGACTCATTATCTTTCCATACCTGGCCTTGTGTCTCACGAGTTTGATTCTGTTGATCCTACCCTTGCAATGAAAGAGAAAATTTTTGAACTTTTAAGAGAGATAGATGAGTCCAAAACCGAAAGGGAAAGCCTTGTAAGGAAAATGGACCAGATGGAGTGCTACTATGAAGCTCTTATTCAGGAACTTGAGCAGAATCAAAGGCAGATGATGGCTGAATTGCAGAACCTTAGGAATGAACATTCTACTTGTCTGTACACAATTTCTGCTGGTAAGACCGAGATGGAGAGAATGCACCAGAATATGAATGAGCAGATAATAAAATTTTCTGAAGACAAGCGCATTTTGGAAACTCTAAACAACGAGTTTGAGAGAAGGGCTATTTCTGCTGAAGCAGCCCTTAAAAGGGCCAGATTGAACTATTCTATTGCTGTTGGTCAATTGCAAAAAGATCTTGAGCTCCTTTCTTGCCAAGTTCTTTCTATGCATGAGACAAATGAGAATCTTATAATGCAGACCCTTTCTGATTCTTCACTTCCAAACACTGATGGTTGCTCAGAACAAGTGACGTATCCTAAAATTTCAGAAGGTCATACATCCAATCGATTGCTATGTCAAAATCACTATTCTTCCTTACAAAGACAACATTTGGGTGAAGACATTTTACTTAGTGATTTGAAAAAATCACTTCAGTTGCAAGAGGGGTTATACAGACAAGTTGAAGAAGAAATCAGCCAAATGCATTTTACAAATATATACTCTGATGTCTTTTCTAAGGCTCTACAAGAAACATTGCTCGAAGCAAGTCTTGACGTTCAACTCATGAAAGAGAAAATTGTTCAACTCTCTCAGCAGCTGGAGCTTGCAAATGAATCCAACGAGTTATTGGGGCTGAGGTTGCAGAATGCTATGAATGATATCCTCTCACTAAATGAGTACAAGGAAATTTGCACAGCAAAGGGCAATGACATTGCTCTCCAGAACCAAATTTTAGAGGCAAATTTAAAAAATCTTGCTCATGAAAACAATCTTCTTACTGAGAAAGTTAATGGGCTGGAAGTTCTTCTGACAGAGTATAGAAGTTATGAGGGAAAGTACGCGGCCTGCAGTACAGAAAACTCAGAGTTGAAAAGTTTATTGAAAAAAGAGAGCGTAGAAATTAATCATCTTCATGATGAAATATCCATTTTGCAGGAAGAGTTAAAGTCTGTCAGAACTAAATTTGACAAGCAAGTTTCGGTGAAGGATAATCTGCAGAATAATGTCACCTTTTTGTCTAATAAGTTGCAGAAGTTGCTGGCATCATATGAAGAAAGACACACTGAACTTTCTCTTTGTAGTAGATCTGCTTGTTTGGATTTGAAATGTGAAGACTTTGAGGGTCTCTTATTGCGACTAGAAGAGTTGCAACAGAGTGCATTTCATAGAATCCTGCTACTCACTGAAGAGAAGGAGATTTTAGTCCATGAAAAACAAATGACTCAAGTATCTTTAAATACTGCAGAATCAGGTGTTCTGGTCATGAAACAGAAGTTTGAGCATGATTTGCGAGAGATTTTACATAAGATAACTGTGTCAGGTGCTCTGTTGCAGAAACTTCAGTTAGATTTCGAGGTGATCATTGACAGGATTAATGCTGGTTTTGAAGCTGAAGAATTATACACTCAGCGTCACAAAGAATTTTTGTCTGGTCTTGATCATTTGGACGCTGAGCTACAACAACTTAATTCAAGAAATCAGGACCTTGCTCAAGAAATAATAAAACTAGATACTTCATCTAGTGAACTTGAAATATGTAAGCTGACCTTAGCAACAATCGAAGAGGAAAACAAAGATTTGGAATCATCTTTACAGGAAAAAACTGAAGAATCTGCCAAGATTTCATCTGAGCTTGATTTTTTGAAAAAGAACTTGCATTCTCTGCATGATGAATTGCACGTTGAGAAAACTATCAGAGAAAAGTTGGAGAAAACAGTTTCCAATCTTAGCACTGAATTGAGTGAGAAGAAAAGCCAGCTGCAGGGAAAGAAAGATTTGGAGTTGTCTTTGCAGGAGAAAAACGAAGAATCTGCCACAATTTCATCTGAGCTTTATTTTTTGAAGATGAACTTGCATTCTCTGCATAATGAGTTGCATGCTGAGAAAACTGTCCGAGAAAAGTTAGAGAAAACACTTTCAGATCTTACCACAGAATTGAATGAGAAGCAAAGTCAGCTGCAAGGTAAGATAGATTTGGAATCGTCTTTACAGGAGAAAACAGAAGAATCTGCCAAGATCTCATCTGAGCTAAATTATTTGGAGAAGAACTTGCATTCTCTGCATAATGATTTGCATGCTGAGAAAACTGTCAGAGAAATATTGGAGAAAGCAGTTTCAGATCTTACCAGAGAATTGAATGAGAAGCAATGCCAGCTGCAGGAGGCTGATATGAAAAGACAAGAACTTGTCCATCTCAAGCAAATGGTGACAGACTTAGAATTCGAAAATTCAAGAATCTCAGATCTTCTACAGAAATCTGAGAAACATCTTAAAGATGCTTTAAAAGAATCTTCTTCTATTAGTTTTCTGGAAACTCTATTTTCTGAAATGCATGAATCTTTCATTGCTACAGACATTGTTATGACTTTTACCAGAGCTCAGTTTGAGGATCGTATGGAAGAGCTTGCTGAGAAGCTTCACTCCACTTGCAGGCAACTTGATGTGTTTCACAAGAAAAATTTCGATGTAGAAACTGAATTGAACAGCTGTCTTTGCAGAGAACAGATTTGCATTGAAGAAAATACAAGATTGTTGTCGAGCCTTGACTTTCTGAAATCTGAATTAGAGATCCTGACTGTTCAGAATAGAGAACTAATTGATCAAAACAGTGCACTTATGTCAGAGCTTAAGGATCACAAGAATATGACCGAGGAGGTCAATGATACTTCTAATATGCACGAAAGACCGTGTGTCCTTGAGGTTGCAAGGCTGGAGCAATTGCTGGCAAGTTGTCGTAGAGAGGCTGCAGAACTCTTTTTGTCCAAGGAAGAAGCTGAACTCAAGTGTATAGTTCTGCAGGACAAATTGGATGAACTGAAAACTGCATTCACTTCATTAAAACAATCAGATGATGAGCTAATAAGACTGCAGAACCAATGTAATGAGCTTACCAAGAGGCTTGCTGAACAGGTTTTGAAGACAGAGGAATTTAAGAATTTGTCTATTCATTTGAAGGAACTGAAAGACAAAGCTGAGGCTGAGTGTCTTAATGCTCATGACAGAAGAGGACATGAACCACCACCGGTTGCTATGCAGGAGTCCTTGAGAATTGCATTTATCAAGGAACAATATGAATCAAAGTTGCAAGAACTAAGACATCAGTTGTCTTTGTCCAAAAAGCATAGTGAGGAAATGCTGTGGAAACTACAAGATGCAGTTGATGAAACTGAGAATAGAAAAAAGTCTGAAGCTTCTCAAATAAAAATTAACGAAGAGCTGGGGATGAAGATCTTGGAATTGGAGGCTGAGTTACAGGCTGTACTTTCTGATAAACGTAATTTGTTAAATGCTTATGACCTTCTAAAGGCTGAAAAGGAGTGTTCCGCAATAAGCCTTGAATGTTGTAAGCAAGAAAAGCAAGAGCTTGAAGCTTCTCTTGTAAAATGCAATGAGGAGAAGTCCAAAATTGAAGTAGAACTAACGTTGGCGAAGGAATTGGTGGAGACTTCGAGATCTCATGCAAATTCTCTGAACAAGGGCAATGGTACATTCTCTACGTTGAATCCTCAACAAAAGTATAATCATGAGCCAGAGAGTGCAACTTTACTCATCAACATGCAACCCGAGGTAACTGATTTATTTATTTTTGTTCATTAAACTTCTGTAGTTACCATTTCGTAAAAGAAGAAATCACCTTATATCTAGGATGATATATTGATGCAATAATAAAAAGTATTTTGATTGCAAAAAAGTGTTAATTTTCCAAACTTCTGAAGGATACTAGCCTTAACAGAGTTCAGATTGATATTTTAAATAAGAAAGGATTTTAGTCTTTATTTTAGTTATTGAATTATTCTCATACTTGCTATATTCTTGCCCTACTGCTTTTGTATACTTTAGTACAGTCATATTATTGTAACTTTAGTCCTTTGTCAACTTATTAGTGTCAATTAGGGCTGTTATAATTTTTGGAGATTGAATCTTGAAACTTACTTAACCTTCGTATGAATTTTACTAAATACCATATTAGAGCTAAAGCTTTTGGAATGCATTATGCATGATTCCAGTTATTGGGCTTGAAGAAAATCTTACTAAACTCGAATGCAGATCTGTCTCTTACTAATTGCCTTCTTTCAGTTATTTGTTTTGGACAAGTTCATAGCCATTAATAATTTATGACAAATAAGTGCCATTCTAGAAAAACATAGTTTTTGTTGATATCATTTTACTAATTAAATTCCAATATCTAGGAATCTTGTTTGTAAAAAAACAATTATTTTGGTTTACATTTTTTATAACAAATTAAGAGCCATCTTATTAGGTTATGAATTGATCATGTTAATGATATGTATTATAAAATACATCAGCAATTCCTCCTCTGTTGAGAATCTTAACTGCCGACAAAAAAGTTTGATAGTTTTTTACCAATCTTTAAGATTTTTTTGTCTTGCATTATAGATTGTTACTATATGTAGGTTGACTTACTCACACATAGCTTTTCACTTAATGAAATGTGCTTTTGTCTAAGTTCTATGAAAGGAATTTATGTAGGGAATAAAAAGGTTTATGCATAGTAGAGAAAGGAAACTTCGGAACTGAGTATCCTTTATTTTTTGTTTTCTTTTCTTTCCCTCGTCTTTGTTTCCTATATTTCCGTTGGATCTTAAGCAAAGTCTTTAATTTTGAAGAAAAATTTATGTACTTGCTCTTAATGCAATATCCAATGTATGCCTCCCTTCGGTTAGTGGTAAGCCTTAACAATTTATTTGTATAATTATTTGATAGGATCCTCTTGCATTTACTGTTATGAATGGAGGCCAAACACTTGGAAATCAAAACGACTTGCAACAAGAAGAAGTAATGAAGCATGTGGCATCAGCTGAAAGTTTGAAATCTAGCATTGACCACTTGAGTAAGGAGGTAATTTTTTAAAATGCTTAAACAAGTTAGGGGTCATTACTTGTCCCTTTTTCATCTATTCTAGCTTTCGTTACTTTTTTTATTCCTTCAGTCATCCTTACTCTAAAATGTAGTACTTTCCTTGTCTAATATCATGCACTCAGGAATATAGATAGCTTTTGTATTTTCCTGGTCTTTGGGATGTTATTTGTCACATTTATAGTCGTGTTGGATCTCTAAGTTGTGTCTTCTGATTGCAGTTGGAAAGGATGAAAACGGAGAATATGCTTCCTTCAGTAGATGGCCATAGTTATGATGAGCCAAGTTTCCCAGATCTGCAAAGAGAATTGATTCAGCTACATGAGGTAAATGATTCTTGTTGCATTGACTGCTGTGAACCATTCTTCCTGTCTAGATAGATTTTTGTTAACATTGTACTTTGCACAGGCCAATCAAGAGTTAGAAAACATATTCCCAGTATTCGATAAATTCTCAGTCAGTGGTAATGCATTAGAAAGGGTGCTTGCTTTAGAGATTGAGCTTGCTGAAGCATTGCGGACCAAGAAGTCAAACATCCAATTTCAGAGGTACTCTCTCCTTTGCAACTGTAATGAGATTTGATAAATAAATTTGCAGTGTTAGAGGAACTTCTCGTTAAGATTCCACGTCTTTATTCACTTGATTAAAATGTGATGACTAATAAAAAAAAAATTGCCACACCATAAACTCAGTAACAGTAAACTGTCTTGGTTATTTAATTCTGTTTGAGTTTACACATGTTCAATTGTTACATTAATTGTATGATTTGTTTTTTCTTCTTCAGAAGCTGGTGGTGCCAGGCATAAATCCAACTTTTTAAACTAATAATAATATGACCCTTTTACCTAAAGCTATTTCATTTCGGCTGTTTTCTTTATGTGCTGTGAGGTAGCTATTTATTATCTAAAAGCACTGGAGAAGTTTGTATTTGGCCCTTAAAGCTTAAAGCTTTACAAACAATTTTCTGTTTGGTATCAGCATTGAGACATTTCTCTCCTATGTTTCAGTTCTTTCTTGAAACAACATGGTGATGAGGAAGCAGTATTCCGAAGCTTCAGGGATATCAATGAGCTAATTAAAGATATGTTAGAACTAAAGGCAAGACATTCTACTGTGGAGACAGAACTGAAAGAGATGCATGAGCGTTACTCTCAATTAAGTCTTCAATTTGCAGAGGTTGAAGGTGAGAGACAAAAACTCATGATGACTATAAAAAATACTCGAGCATCTAAGAAGGCTTCAGGTTAGTTCATCAACATAGTTCGGCCACCAATCCTTATAGCCACAGTGAGGAAGCATTTTTTACCCCCTTGCACAGGCTAATAATAATTCATGCTCAACATATTCGGGGCCTCATCATATCCTCCCTTCTGTTAATTATATAGAGAGAGATAGATTATATCATATAAGGGGTCCCATCAGCCATAGCAAGAGGTTATATTTATGCAAGGGTTGGTATGGTGCTACATCATTTCCAAAGTTAAGCAGCAGATAATACTGTGTAAATAAAATAATTTGTGTTAAGAATCGAAGTATATATCCCTGTAACATCCCTTACCAAAGCCTGAATGCTGCAATTGTTTTTCTGTACAGGAACAAGATTATTTCTATTTAGAACAATTTTGTGAAAACTCAAGTGTTTTTTCTTTTTTCAGCTCAAATAGATTATGTTTGTAATGAAAAGATGGTTAAACCAAATGTTGATTATTTCGTTAATTGAAAGCTATTTAACTAGTTTGAGCTGTAAGGTGAGAATCCAAGTCAAATCACCCTTTGAATTTTGAACCTGGCAAGTGGTATCCAAATTTTCTCCTTTTTTTTTTTTTAATTTCCTTTTAGCAGAAATTCTTCTTTCCTACTTTGGGAGAGGTTATCAACTTTTCCTCAGTAAAAAAATGAGATTAAACTATACCATCATAGTTAATTGATGCAACTCTATCGTATATTTTAAAATGGTTGGTTCAAGTTTTTCTTATATGCAAAAATTGAACACATTCCAGAGAATTTACAATCATTCACATATACTGTTTAATTTTAATTTAAGGTTTGTGCACGGTAGCTCACAAGATTTTTTTTTCAACCATTAATTTAAAGTTGAATTAATCCTAACAATTCTAATCATGTTTCTCGTGGATCAACTCAACACAGTTGAAACAATAAAATAGCGCTTCCATGGGTTTGGTGGCCTTTAATTCTCGTAAAATATTTAATCTATTCATATTCAAAGTCAAGTCAATCTTCATTGGACTCGTATTGACTGCTAAATGTGCTCTACCACGAGTTAATTCATGCCAAATTAATGAATTTTTAGACTAAGTTGGATTGAATTGAAAATCGATTAGATGTATAACTTCCTCGTAAGCTAACCACTTAATTCGAAATATACAAGAATTAAGAAAAAAAAATGTTTGCTTACTCTATAATATATAGTTCTATTATTCTAAAGCACATGATATCAATGTGAATACACATTGGTCCCAAAAAATTGACATCACAGTTTGAAAATTCTCCCTCCATAGTCAGCTCTAAGTCAACACATAAAAAGTAAAATAGTTCTTCGACGTCACATCAAAATTGATTTAAAAGGATCAAATTTGCATAAAAAATTTTAAAAACAAAAAATTACAAATAATTTTAAAATTTAAAATTGTAGAAAAAAATGTGGAACAAAAATTTCCAATCTTATAAAATACAGAAACCAAAATTATAATTAAAGAAAAATTCTAATATCACTCAATTGTATCATAAAAAAAAACATTCTCATTATTATAATAACAAATTAAGGACTAAAATATTTAGATATATTAAAAATGATAAGATATTTAATTTGATCCTACAAAATTAGTTTTATACGGTAAAAATTGTACTTATTTATATATTATAATATTATTGTATTTCTAGTCAATATGAGATTTCATCGTACCTTCTAATTTTGAGAAGTATTTTTTATCACACTCTTTCACCTCAAGAGGGACATATCCTTACATAGTTAGGATCGACTTTGATATCATATTAGAAATTGTGAGATATTTTATCCAATCCTACAAAATCGATTCAATATAACAAAAATTATACTTATTTATATATTATAATGTTATCGTATCTCTAGTCAACATGAGATTTCATGATACCTCTTTGTCTATAAGAAGATTTTTTATCATACTCTCTTACTTTGAGGGGGATTTTTCACCAAGATACGTTAACCATTTAGAAATCATATTAAGTTCATCTTTGAATATAATTTCTTTTTCTTTGATACCATTATATTCTTACTCTTATTCTAAAATTACAGTGAGTGACTAACAACAATTTTTTATATTAAAAATACTTGTAATTTTCCTTCTAAAAATATGACGTGTAAATTATTAAAAAAATATTAAGAAATAATTTGAATTCTATGCTCAACATTTTGGTTATTGTATAATAAGAAACCTAATAAATGATTCTTATCCTCAATTTTTTTTTCTACGAACAAAAAACCTACGAAAGGTTTTTTATAAAGTCCCACAAATCCATTACTTTAAGATTTAAATATATAAATATATTTAGTTATTTATATTATGGATTTAAGTATTTTAAAAGAAATATTATCACATTACATAAGGTTTTTTGTATATATTTTAAACAAAATACCCAAATATAAAGTTTTCTATGTTCTTCCTCGTTAGCTCAATGATGAGATTAATTAAGTGAAACATCATTTGCTCATACGAAACATGTTATAGTAGTTCAAATCAACACATCACACAAACTAAGGCAACCTAATGATGAATTTTTTTAACCATATAATTAACAGAATATTCTCAATGTCCATAATAATTTAAGCATAACAAGTATTAAATAAGTCAAGTGTCTAATTTCTCAACCTGAAAATTACATTTCATGTCATCATATATTGATATTCAAAATTACACACACTTAACTCTACTTTTAAAATACTCACATACATTAAATTGCTTACAGATTTGTCTATGTTATAATACCTTCCATAAGTAGATATCTTTATCATAGATATATAATTGAAACAAGTTCTCTCTTGTGATAAGGTAAAATCTCTATAACTACTTATATACTCTTTTTTTTTTTCACATCACAAGTTAAGTCATAAAAACTTTCTTCAATTTTTACCACCTGATACTTTCCTCTATGTGAATTCAGTATGAGTAAAGTTAAGATATCTCCTTCAAAATCTCAAATTTAATATATCACATACGTCAAAACATAATATTTCTTTCTTTGAAACCATTATGTTAATTTGTATTAATACATCAATCGTAACATCCTAATTCTCGATATCTACGATTTGTTAAATTTTGACAAAATCTTTGTCAAAATTTTAATAATTAAATTATTAGGAATTGAGTAAAGCGACTGTAGAGTTTTATGTTTATTAGATTATTTATGATTTTCTGGAATTTTTAGAAAATACTCAAAATTGACCCGTTTTACGGGCAACTGAGCGCCACATAGTAATTATATGTTTTAAGGTAGAAATTGAAAATAAGAGAAATAATTAAATTAAGAATTTAATAATATTGTAGAGATGAGGAGTGAATCATTTGATTAGACCCTTGTCATAAGATTTGAGGGTCATGAGTTTGATTCTTGTATGTGCATTGAAACAATTATAATTTTTCTATTATTTTATAGTTGTTAGAAAATACTCATGTGTGTACCTGAGTATGAACTTAACAATTTTAAGTGTCACATTTAGAAATTATTGTTTTCTTGTAAGCATTGAGTGTGAGTACATTAAAAGTTTATTATGTGTATAAGTTGATAAGAAACATATGATGGTTGATATGGTTTGGAGTAATACTTGAATCTTAAGGGTTGTGGGTTCAAATCTTGACTAGAATAAAAATGAGAAAATAATGGATAAATTTTTGTAATATAATCCGCTAAACGCACATGAAACCGCCGAGCGGATTGTGGTTCGAAATCTCTTTATTACTTGCGGCCTCATGGGATGAGTTCATATCCGTTTAGCGGAAATTTAGGTGTAATAGGAATTAGAAATTTGACTTTTAAAAGAAAGAGTGTCATTCTGCTGTAGGTTCCTCATTTCTCTCTTTCTCTCAAAGTTTTCCTTACCTTCAAGCTTGATTTTGAGGGGAAAATCTTGATTTTCTTGAGGAGCTCCAAGAGGTAAGTTTGTTTCTCTCAACCTCTTCTACATTTCTACGGTTTTATTTTTCAAAACGGTACATTTTCAAATTTTCTCCTCACTTGACTGAGCTTGAATGGGAGTAGGAAGAGTGTTATTGTAGGTTTTACACCTAGGATACTAGAATAATGTTTAAAATTGAGGATTAGAAGTGGTTAAGCTAAAAACTTTAAGAATCCTAATTCGTAGGTACTGTTCATTGAATTTTTGGGACTTATGTGAACAGAATTAGAAATTAGTATCTATATGAAAGTTGTAGCTCTTTAAGTTTTCGAAATATAGAAACTGGATTCACATTAAACGGATATTTGTAGCTTAAGTTATGCCCATTTTACTATCAAGTGTTCTAGCTGTGACGTTAGGAGGTAGCCCTGTTTCAACAGCCTCGGTTTTTGAATTACTGAGATTGATACGTGTGAAATTAGGACTTGATTCATTCATAAAAGTTATAGGAAACTATATTCCCGAAATTTAGAGTTTTGTTTCATGTTAATAGCTTATGTGTAGCATGAGTTATAATCCAATTACCAAGGCATGTTCAGAGTGTTATTGTAGTTAAACCTAGTTGGAAACAACCACTGAAAACTGCATCTATTCTATAAGGTATTTGAATTTATTTCTTTCATCAATATTTTAGATAATTAAGTTATTAAAATTTTAGCTTAGACCTCATGCCAAAACAACTTATATAACTCTAGAAAATTCTTAAATACTGAACCTTGTCCATGTTTGCTATTGGGATTTTTCCTACTCTAAGTGCATACAAAATAGGATAATTTTCTAAGATAATTGTAAGTTGAATGTAAACTTAAAATATTATTAGAAATGAATTAACAACACAAAGTGAATTTAAATTCTCATGAGATAGAAACATAGAAATATAAAATTCTAACTAGTATTTTTTTACGTATATAGATTTTGCTAAAACACAACATCAAGCTTTGAAAAGAATAAGTGTGAACGTATCAGGTAAGGGGTAGACTATATAGTAAGGATTACATCATAAGCTTATTTGACTTTATTTGTTGAAGTTGTCTAAATTTGTTATGATTGATAATTTTGATTTCATTATATACTTGGT